TGAGCCATACCACCTGGGGCTAGCCACTCAGCTTTTGATGCTTTGTTACAACAGCCCTACAAAAAGCCTAAATCTCAACCTACCCATGCCTCTAAGGCCCTACCAGAAAACTACAATCAAACCTATTCTGTAATGAAGGTAGCCAGTTACCTCCTCAACCACAATCTCTCCTCCAGGACATCTCTTTGTGGAATTATACCACCTGCTGGTGTAACTCTGTGTTTGCTTTTCTGGATTTCTTATTGAACCGAGTCTGATTTCCCTGACTTTTTAGTGCTCGGTGTAATGTCTGGCACAAAGTAAGTGCTGTAAATAAATTAATGTGTATTATCATGTGATGGCTAAAGCCAGTTTTTCCATGTACAATATGTGCCTTCCAGGGTACCCCTCTTTCCCTTAACTGGCTCACTCTGATGCTGACCACATGTCATCGGTCAGCACACACATTTCTAAGGTCAGTGTGGCACCTGAACATGGGACAATCCAGGTGGTAGAGCAGACACATATTGTTCTGAGTCCTAAAAGGCCTTCTTTTCGTCTAGGAGACATCATGGACAAGGTTCTCTTATCTCGGTATGTGTTTTCCACCAGGTTCTAGTCTTTTTTGGTTTGTTGTTTTCTATGAGTAAGCTGAAATGCTTAATAGTTAAATAGAAGCCTAAATGCTATCAGAAAACAACAAGAAAATTTGCAATTGCAAAGAAACAAAACAATATGCAATTAAAAACACACACAACTAAATGGAGAAAAATAATGTTAGTATTTATCTCTGGATAATTACATTGTGGTTCCTTTTCTTTGTTTTTTTGTTTTGTTTTCAAAATTGTCCAAATTAATCTGTGTTACTTTAATCTATATCATTATATTATAACTTTTATTGTGGGTGTTTCCTAATTATATCTTATAGACTGTTTTGTTCTAATATGAAACTCACTATCAAATACTTCAATTGCTGTTGACCACATAAATTTGACATTAGAGTGGTCCAATTAAAGCTGAATAAAAACAGAAATCTCAAAGGAAAATTTGCTCATAGGAATTAAATACAGCTTAACAAAATAGAGAAAATGAATATTTAATTAATTCATTATTTCAACACTAGAGGCCCAGTGCATGACATTTGTGGGGGGGGGTCAATTTGCATAGTACTCTTTATTAGATAGGCTTACTGAATGTGTTTCATGTTTTAAGTAGATTGCCATGTGTTAAAAAATTAATTTGATATTAATTCACATTAGAGCTGGTAGGAATCTGAGAGACCACTGAGTCTAAAGTTCTTTGTTCATAGACAAGTAAACAGAATAATAGGAGTAAATGCCAGGGTTGACCTTGAACATATATGAAGACAAACATAGTTTTGCCTTCAGACAGTTAGGTCAATATACTCACAATTAAAATTTATGTCAAGCCCTAGCTGGTTTGGATAAAGCATTGGCCTGGAGACTAAAGGGTCCTGGGATTTGATTCTGGTCAAGGGCACATGTCCCTGTTGCAGGCTTTATCCCCAGTACAGGGCATGCAGGAGGCAGTTGATCAATGATTTTTCTCTCATCATTGTTGTTTCTATCACTTTCTTCCTCTCCCTTCTCTCTGAAATCAATTTAAAAAACATTTAAAATTTTGTGTCAAAATGCTTAAAGGATAAAGGCAGGGGTGTAACAGTAGAAAGGGTCTCTGCCCAATATGAAGGAACAGCAAAGAAGCCTATTAAAGAAACTTACATTCTATCTGAGAACCAAAGAAATGAGCAGAAGCCTGCCAAGTGACTACACAGGAATGGCCAGATGGCCAGAGAGAACTGTGTACAAAAGCCCAGAGTTATGAGACAGCAGCAGTGCCTGCTTAGAGACTGCCCAACAATTCATCCTTTCTAAGGCAGAGAGGAAGCCAGTGGTCTGGAGTGGCATGGGGAAGCAAGAGGAGATCTGAGCATGAAGGGGAGTTGATGAGTAGGTTGCAGAGGAGGGAGGGTATGTGTTTAAGTGCACAAAGCTGGGAATGTGTGGGGCTACCAGTGATTACATGAGAAGGGCTTTATATGCGCCAACAGAATATGTGGCTTTATCTTTAAGTCTCTGTGATGGCAACAGATAGAGTTAAGTCTGTGAGTAGCATGAATTGCCTGGATTTTAGGGGTTAATGCAGGGAAATCAGTGAAGAAGTGACTGTAATAATCTGATTGAGAGATTGATGGTTGAGGAGATAGCAGTGGAAGATGAGAAGTAAAAATAGACCATGTTATTAGTTCAACACAAGGTCAAAAGTATATACACTATTCTGATCATAAAGTAAGTTACCACCTCCTTTATGTGGGCAAAAAAAGCCAAGATATGAACATTAATTAACATCTTAGAGCTTATACCTTAAAGCCAAAAGAGGTACTCATTGCCAGGTTAAAAATTAAAAGGCTTATTCTTGAGCTTCATAAAACTGTTCCTTTTGTTCCCTAACAAAAAATATATCAAACAAAATAAATAGATGGACAAAATAGGAATAAAAGTTACCTTGGCCTTATGAATTAAAATCATTTACATAATGTAAATGACTATAAAAATTACCTAATTCTACATGAAAAAGGGTAAGAATTTAAACATTAATTTTTTGATATTTTAAAAATAAATGAATTAACATATAACATGAAATTTTTTTGGAAATGTATGTTCTCTGGGATTCATATTCTTTTGTTTTTCTGCTTTCCAGTAGATGAGTTAATCTCCTAAGTGTAGGATTCATGGTTTTCCCAATAACTTCACACTCTTAAAACCTTTACAATTCTATATAAGTCCCTTGAAGGAGGAAAAAATAGAGACAGGATGTCATGTAGCTTCTATCACCAACATTTTTATCTCCCTCCAAAATATACCAGCTTCAGCATAATGGATCTTTATAGACCCAGATATTTGCTGGTTTGTCTATAATCATTGCAGGCTACTAACTACTTGAACATACTGTATCTTTTCTTTCAATCATTCAAAATGCCTTGATAACAATTAAATTTCTAATGATCTATCACATCTAGCCATAACTGAAATGGAATGTGGCATATATAAAAACATATATTTATCTACATATGGGAACAATTATAAAACCACATTTACTTTCTCGCTGACAGCTTGGGAATAATAATAATATAAAAAAAGCAGGCATTATTCTACGTGGATGAGGAAACTAAGCAGTAAAACAAACTATTGTGTTACTACTCACAAAGAAAAATCTGTGGAGGAAAAGAAACTACCTGTGAAGCCCATTTCAGTGTTGAACAGCTAAAGTTTCAGGATATATATTCAGGTATTAATCTCCAGCCAAGCCTTTGAGAAAGTTATTTTAAACCTCAGCCAAATCCACTGTTTTAATTATGCAAAACTCTCTCGTTTAATAAACCCACTCTCCAGCCCACTGCTCAAAGTCTTTAACAGCAGGATTCTAATAAAGCCAGGTCCAAAATGGAAATGGTGCCATCTGCATCCTCCCATCCGCTCTGGCAGCACTGCTACTAAATTAATCGTACAGTCTGCAGGATACAACAGCGGAGACCCCACTGGTGTGGAACCAGTGGAGTTTCTGTTTAACCCCCAGCAGATAGAAACACAGAGCCAGCTCAGTCACGGCTAGTCAATCTGTACCTAAGAGCTGTGTCCAATTTCCCTGACCAATGGAATTAAGAACCAAAAAAGGAAAGGGAAAAGTAAGAAGACATTAGTTCCCTGGCTACAAATATAAATAGGTTTCAACTGAGTAAGCTTCAATGTCCCCAATTGTATAAGAATTGGCTGGCCAATATGAAATGAATTCAAACAATAGGATTACAGATGGACTGTCTGGCAGAATGATTCCAGATCTTCACAAAAGGACGTACATGAAGCATATCTTTTTAAAATGACATTTTAAGTATAGATTCACATATTGGTATAATTTTTGGGTTATTCTATTATTTGAAACTGTACTCTTTTGCAACTTTGATATTTTTCTACAGGTAATTTTGCATTATCTAGTTTTGAAATAATATATGTTAGACAACATTCCATTTTTATCCCTCCAAACTTCTTTTACTTTCTGTCTGTATCACACCATAATAGTAATTAGGTTTTCTTTCTGCCCTGACAAAAATTAAAATGGTCAGTTTCACCCAAAACTCATGTGAAACTGACTGTTGAGGAGACCTGGACATATTAAAAACTATGTTTTTAGCTTTCCATGTTTCTTTAAAGTTATATGACTTCATGGGCCACCTCCCCCAAACACACACACACACACACACACACACACACACACACACACACACACACACAAATTAGGCTTTTAAAACGAGTAAGACAATACTAGTCATGCAACACTGTAGTTATTGGGTTCAGTTCTCTAGAAAGGAATATTAATCATCCTGCCTCACCTTCCGCCTAGCATTTAAAGCTTTGTAAGAAAGTTGTAAGGCCTTGCAGTACACATTGAGGTAATGTAATGACTGCATTTCTACACCAACTATTTTAAAGGTATTTCATGGAATAAAAAATTCAAGTTAAAGATAAATTGAACCCTCACTTATAGTATACTAGAGGCCCAGTGCATGAATTCATGCACTGGCAAGGTCCAGATGGCCTACACCGATGGCCTACAATAGCAGGCCAACTGGGGGCGAGGCCAGCTGGGGAGAGGGGCTGTGCACTTTCTGGTCATTCCACCGTTCAATTTGCATATTACCCTTTTATTATATAGGATTATTAGAAATGTTGCTGATAAGTCAAAAATATGATATGGTACTATCTGAGTAAATATCAGATGTAAATAATTTAAATATTATTATACATTTTGAAGTTACTTCTATTTCAGTCATTAAATATTATTTCTATATGTGTGCCTGAAGTTAAATGAGAAGTAAAGGTGCTTATTTAAACACTATCAAAAATTAGGACAAAGAACACTAAATATGAAAACTTCCCTTTCTCATATAAATGTGTATTATAGACCAAATAAAAATTAGAATAAACACAAAATTAAACATTTACCTTTAGTTTGAAGTTTCCTTTCAGGTTTCTCCTCTTTTTCAGTTTTTTCTTTGCGTATTTCTAGGGGGAAATAGAATTTATAATTTAAAGTCTTTTTGAAAATGTGCAAAATATGTACCATAGTTATGACTACATAGCTATTCACCATTATGCCTAAATCATTATATCTAATTATAACAAGTTATAGATGCCTAAAAGGATTTTATAACATATTGCTACAAAAAATTACTCATTTATTGAAATAAAGAAAAAAATGCAAATTACCTCAAATGAGAGTTATTTGAAAAAGCTTAAAAACTTACATCAATGGAAATATATTGTCACTGTTTTCAGTGTGAAAATTGATCCCAGAGTATAATTATGTTTCATATCAGTTATTCTTTTTTAAAAATATGTTTTTATTGATTTCAGAAAAGACTGGAGAGGGACCAAGAGATAGAAACATCAATTAGAGAGAATCACTGATTGACTGCCCCATGGAACCCTCACACTGGGGATCAAACCTGCAACCTGGATATGTGCCCTGATTGGGAATTAAACCGTGACCTTCTGGTTCATAGGTCGATGTTCAACCACTGTGCTACTCCAGACAGGCTATTTTATATCAGTTACTCTCCATACAAATTAAGAATACTTAGTAAGAATGTCATTTAGATTTAGGAAAATTTAGTTTTTACATATTAAATTAAGAATTTGTGAAATGAACTATAACAACTATCTCATAAAATATGTATATATCAGAAGCAATGACTCTAAGCTATATTTATAATCAGAATTTGGTATTTAATTTAACCAATAATCACTGTAAGCAGATATAACCCATTTCATAAAATGAGTTAGCTGTTACATTTTCTAAACATCAGGTTTTAAGAAATATATATAATTTGCTGCTAACTTCAGTATCTATGCATTGCAAGGTTTAGAAAATGAAGTTAATTCTGAATTTGCAATTAATTTGGATAGATATAATTTGAGATTAGCGTTTGCAAATATGATTACTACCTCTGAAAAGTGACTTAATCTTAAATTCCATGATTTTTCTTAGGAGAATGTTAATGAGTTTTACTTATTTAATTATCACAACTTTATCCCACAGATACTCTGACATGGTGGTAATTACTGTATATATTTTAAACTCTCCATTTGTAAATTAGATTTTATTTATTTATTTATTTTTTATTTTTTAAATATATTTTATTGATTTTTTACAGAGAGGAAGGGCGAGAGATAGAGAGATAGAAACGTCAATGAGAAAGAAACATCGACCAGCTGCCTCTTGCACACCCCCTATAGGGGATGTGCCCGCAACCAACGTACATGCCCTTGACCAGAATCAAACCCTGGACCTTTCAGTTCGCAGACCAACGCTCTACCGCTGAGCCAAACCGGTTTCGGCATGTAAATTAGATTTTTAAATTTTAGTAAATTTTCTTTAAGTTTAAAATCAAGACTAACCATAAGGAAATCCTACATATCTTCAGAAAAGACAGTTACTGATTCCTGTACTGTAAAAATTTCCTATCCTCATTAATTCATCATCAGACTCTACAGGGCCACTGCTCTACCCTCATTCCATCCCTGACTTTGAATATGGCAATGGAGATACAAAAGAGTTAAGATACTCACATCTCTTTAAAAACACAATTCACCAAGGTGCCAGGAAAGATCTCCACAGGGCACAGGAAACTTTTATCTTCCTTGATTTCTCATGGTTTTTTGTTTGTTTGTTTGTTTTGTAATTTCTTCCTTATATGTCTACAGAACCTACTTCAAAGCAGGGTTTGTCATCTTAGCATCATTGACTTCTTGGGTTGAGTGGATCATTATTGAAGTGCAGTGGGTCTATTCTGTGCACGTATGGCATTTAGCAGCACCTCTGGCCTCTATGAACTAGATAGCTATAGTTTCACCCCTAGTCATAACCATGAAAAATGTCTTCAGACATTGCCAAGTGCCCCTGTAGGGCAAAATGATCCCCAAGAATATGTTGAGATGGCTCAGAATTATATTTTTCCTTTGCTTATCCTTTTGCATTTGGGTTCTATAGTATTTTCATAATTATGTAATAAAAATAGTGTTGCACTGTAATATGTCATATTACACATGTGTGGAAACTTTTGATCATTGTTTTAAGAAATGTATTGTGTTTACAAAGGCATAATAAAATTTCATCTTCCAGATGATAGGCAAAAAAAGCTAACAGTAAACACACACACACACACACACACACACACACACACACACACAGAACTTGTATCTTCAAACAGTTCTAAAGACACAAGATAACCTGCCTCATTACTGTTTGTCACCATCCAGACTTACCTTGTCAATGCAGTAACCACTAGACACATGTGCATATTAAGGACATGATACATGGTTAGTCAAAATTGAGATATGATATAAGGATAAGTACACAGTGGATTATGAAGACTTACTGTAAAGAAGAATGTAAAATATCTCATTAGTAAGTTTAGATTGTAATGTTATAATTAAGTTAGTAAATTACAGATTGTAATGATATAATGTTGGGTATAATGAGGTGATGGTTTTAAATTAATGTGTCATCTTGGCTAAACTACTATGCCATGTAATTTAAATTAACATTACTTTAAGAGTTGCTGCGAAGGTGTTTTGCAGATGTAATCAAAATCCCTAATCCATTGATGTTATCTACAAAAATTTTTCCAGATTATCTGGGTGGGCTTGTCTGAAACAGACCCGAGGTCTCTGAGGGAGAGGGAAGAAATTATCTCTGTGGCTATGGTTTTGGTCCCTGCACACGGGCTTAAGTTTACCTTCCTAACTTACATGGCCAGTCCCCACAATCACATAGGATAACTCCTTGTAATGAATGTCTCATTATAAAATATATTAGCAACATTTCCTACTGGTTCTGCTTCTCTGAGCAAGCCCTGATATCCTGATTGGAGTAAATATGTTATTAAAATTAATTTTTAGAATTATTTTTACTTTTTTCAATGTGGCTCCTTAAAATTTTTAAATTACATATGTGCTCACAATTTATTGCTATTGGATGGCATTGGTCTAGTCCTACGAGTAGGCAAATGATCTTTTTAAAAATCTAAAGTCACCTACAGGGTTAAATATTTTACAAGTGAATTGAAAAACTAAACTTGAATGCCCCCCTGCCAATACTACCCTGCTTCCATCCTCCTATTCTAACCAACAAGGGCTGTGGAGAAGATTGGCCCCTTAGGGGCAAAAAAAAAAAAAAGCAATATATTGTCAAAGACAAGAGCCAGTGGTCTTTGGACATGCTAAGAGAGTCACCTTAAGAGTTGATTCCTTACTTCCTGTAGTGATTAATTTGAATACAGAAAAGGGATGAAATATTGTAAATTAAAATGTTACATGAAATGTTACATTCATTGTGAAATGAGAGGCCTTAAAATGGTCATTTAGACTATTTTTCTTTTAGAGGTAGGTGTGTGTGTGCTTGTGATCCATATACGTCTGTTAGCCAATCAGAAGAATAAAAGAAATTCCAGAAACCGCACAATTGGATTAGACTGGAGTTAGAATCTCTGCAGGATTAGGTACTAAGGACATCCTGCCTGGAAATCCTTCACAGCCCCCAGCCTGTCTTATTTTTGGGAAATACACTGCTTGGACAGGGTGGTACTCTGACCAGATCAGTTATGTTGGTGCATGCCAGTATTTCCTGCAAGGTAGGTAGAAGCTTGAGTTGCATGAGGAAACCCTATAGTTAATAGAGTAAACACAACCCAGACCAATTTCAAAGATAAAGCCCCATTATTTTTCTGATGATGCACTTTAGCCTAATCCAAACCAGGGCAACCCAATGATCTGAGCATATCCATTCAGAGTTTTTGCAAGTAGGGGTTCTAGATTAACACACACACACACACACACACACACACACACACACACACACCTCTACAGCTGAGAAGGAGCAGAAATATGATGACTTATATGAGCATTTTTTTTTGCAAGAACATTAAGAACTGATTTTTTAACTGATGTTTCTTTGAAAACCCTCAGTACTTCTATGGAGGTAAGTGTAGACAAGCACAGCTAACCTTGTAAAGGCATACACACACCTACATTCTTTCCTCATAAAATATGAAATAAATTCATTTCTGATGATTCAAACTTAAGGATAAATTAAATGTCTCTGCATCTTGTATTGCCACACTGCATTTTCTTCGCAGGCTGGATTCCATCACTACTGTCACCGTCTGTGGCTATCAGATGTCTGAGGAATCCAGTAAAGCCTCTACACAGTGTGCCAGTTCTCTCTCCACACACTGCAGCCAGGAAGTGATGACCATCCAGGCACCTGTCCAAATGAGTACAACATGCTACCAATTTAAACTTTACAGGATATTTTCCTCACAAAGCAGCTGATGCCTGCTTTTTTACTCTCAATTGATCTTGTCAACTAAGAGCCATTTGTATAAGAGCACAAAATTAAATATCAAAGACTTAAATTGGTAAAATAAAAATTATGGCTCTATGGTTTTCAGCAAACTTCAAAGAAAAATAAAATTCCTTATGTTATATTAATACTAGCGTTTAGTTACTGAATAGTATCCATAGACAGATGACTGCTTCCTCTGTGTATAAAATGACAGCAATGTATAACAGCAAAAAACCTGCATTTAACATCATGACAGTCTTTAAGAACAGTTCCCTTGGACATGAACCAATCCTGGACAAAGGGACAAAGAAGAAAGTCAAAGCAGTCTCTACTTATCTCCAGATATGTGCGCTTTGCAGTTAGGTTAGAAACCTGTAAGTCTCAGCATCCGGTCCTGGTTAGAATCATAAGCCATTTTGGTACCAGAAAAGCTTCAAGATTGGCCGAAACCGGTTTGGCTCAATGGATAGAGCGTCGGCTTGGGGACTGAAAGGTCCCGGTTCGATTCCGGTCGAGGGCATGTACATTGGTTGCGGGCACATCCCCAGTAGGGAGTGTGCAAGAGGCAGCTGATCGATGAATCTCTCTCATCGATGTTTCTAGCTCTCTGTCCCTCTCCCTTCCTCTCTGTAGAAATCAATAAAATGTATTTAAAATT